AACCTAGCCACACCGGGATCGAACCAACTGATGGGGGAACGACATCGTAGACCATACAAGGCCTCAAATGGAGCCATCTCGATGTTGGACTAATAGTTGTTGTTATAAGCAAACTCAGCCAACAGTAATAATCGATCCCATTTCCCTCCAAAGTCAATCACACATGCTCTGAGCATATACTCCAAAATATGAACGGTCCCCTCCGACTACCCGTCAGTCTACAGATGAAAGGTCGTGCTGAGCTCTACCCGGGTACCCAACTCACTCTGTACTGCTCTCCAAAAATGCAAAGTGAACTGAGGTGCCTCAATCTGAAATAGTGGAAATAGGCACGCTATGCAACTGTTGATCTTCTAGATATAAATCTGGGCCAACCTTTCTAAAGTATATGTAGTCATCACCGGAATAAAGTACGCAAACTTGGCCAGTCTATCGACAATGACCCAAACATAATCTAATTTCCTTAACGCCCGCGGCAAACCAACTATGAAATCCATAGCGATGTGCTCCCATTTCTACTCTGGTATAACCATCTGTTGAAGTAAGTCACATAGACTCTGGTGCTCGTACTTGACCTGCTAGCAATTTAAACATCTTGACACTTACTCAACTATGTCCTTCTTCATCCGCCGCCACCAGTAATGCTGCCTTAGGTCACGATACATCTTCGTGGTACCTGGATGAATGGAATAGCGCGAACTGTGTGCCTCCTCAAGAATTGTCTCCCTCAGACCATCTACATTAGGAGCACATAAGCGAACCGGGAGTCGCTGAACACCATCATACCCGATAGTAACCTCCTTGGAATCACCTCGTAATACCGTCTCTCTGAGAACCTGCAAGTGCGGATCATCATACTGATGAGCCTTAATTCGCTCGAATAAAGAAGACTGAGCCACAACATATGCAAAATTCGACTGGGTTCTAAAATATCCAACTTTACGAGCCGGTTAGCTAAGGACTGAATTTCCAAGGCCAATGGCCTCTCTTATGCTAAAATAAATGCCAAACTACCCATGCTCTCAGCATTTTTGCTCAAGGCATCTGCGACCACATTTGCCTTGCCCGCATGATAAAGGATGGTAATATCATAGTCCTTTAGTAATTCAAGCCACTTGCGCTGCCTCAGATTAAGATCCCTCTACTTAAACAGATGCTGCAAACAACGGTGATCGGTGTAAACCTCACACGACACTCCATAAAGATAATGCTTCCAGTTCTTGAGAGCATGAACTATTACAGCCAACTCCAAATCGTGCATCAGGTAATTCTTCTCGTGGGGCTTCAACTAATGTGAAGCATATGTAATAACTCACCCCTCATGCATCAATACATAATCCAACCCGACACGTGAAGAGTCGCAATATACAGTGTACATCCCTAAACCAGAAGGCAAAACCAACACTGGTGTTGTTGTCAATGCAGTCTTGAGCTTCTGAAAGTTCGCCTTGCAATCATCAGACTATTTGAATGGAACACCCTATGGATCAATCTAGTAAAATGAGGTGAAATAGACGAGAAACCCTCCACAAACCGACGATAATAACCTGCTAGCCCCAAGAAACTCCTGATCTCGATCGTTGTGGTAGGACGAGGCCAACTATGGACTTCCCCGATCTTCTTGGGATCCACCTTAATACCCTCACCAGACACTACATGCCCCAAGAAAGCCACTGAATCTAACCAGAACCCACAACTGGAGAACTTAGCATATAGCTTTTATTCCCTTAAAGTCGGAAGCACTATCCACAAATGCTGCTCATGCTCCTCCATGCTACGCGAGTAGATCAATATGTCATCAATGAAGACAATGACAAATGAATTAAGATATGTCCTGAATACCCGATTCATCAAATTCATAAATGCTAGCGGAGCTTTAGTCAAGCCGTAGGACATCACTAAAAACTCGTTGTACCCATATCTAGACCGAAAAATCGTCTTTGAAATATCTGAAGCACGAATCCTCGGTTGATGATAACTAGATCTCAAGTCAATCTTCAAAAACACCCCATCACCCTGAAGCTGATCAAATAAATCATCAATGCGCGGCAATGAATACTTATTCTTGATGAGGACCTTACTCCGCTGGCGGTAATCAATGCACATCCACATACTCCCTTCCTTCTTCTTCACAAATAATATCGGTGCACCATAATATGACATACTCGGCCTGATGAATTCCTTCTCGAGCAACTCCTAAAGCTGCTCCTTCAGCTCTCTCAACTCCGCTAGAGCCATACAATTAGGCGATATATAGATAAGTTGGGAGCCCGGTGACAATTAAATGCCGAAATCGATATCACAATCCAGTGGCATGCTTAGTAAATCAGCAAGAAATACATCAGAAAACTCCCGCACCACAGGCATTGAATCTAATGTGGGAGTCTCCACAACAGTATCTCGAACAAAAGCTAGATAGGCCAAACAACCCTTCTCGACCATATGTCAAGCCTTCAAGAAAGAAATAACCCGACTGGATGTACCAATAGATGAACCTCTCTACTCCAGCCTAGGCAACTTTGGCATCGCCAAGGTAACAGTCATGGCGTGGAAATCGAGAATGGCATGGTATGGATACAACCAGTCCATGCCCAGGATATCCTCAAAGTCAATCATATAGAGAAATAGAAGATCTGCTCTGGTTTCATACCCATAGAAAGTTACTACACAGGTCGGGTAGTCCACAATAACAGAATCACCCACTAGCGTGGACACATATACATGAACACCCAAGGACTCACGAGATACATCCAAATAAGAAGAAAAGAGAGAAGAGACATAGGAATAGGTAGACCCTAGATCAAACAGTCCATAAACATAATCTAGACCTACTTGAAGTCTCAAAACACCTAAAATAATATTGAAACCAAGAATCTCATCCCAAAACAAAATTAATCAACTTCTAAACTTCAAACTTTTTCCAACTAACTCCGAACGCGACGAACCATACTTAGAAACTTCAATATGTGCAGCTCAATAAAAGTATAATACAGAAAAAATATTTCGGAAAGACAATTACCGAAATAAAGGATATCAGCCGTAAAGGTGCACAATCGGGATAGGGTAATAAACAAATTCTCCCAATTAGACATGTTGAAACAATTAAAACTTGCACCAACCCCGCTCCCAAAGAGATATGCACCATATAATGTGTGTACTCAAACACTCATACTTGACTGTAAACATGTGCTCAACATGAACTGATTCCATATTAATTGCAAAATAACATATTCAAGAGAGCCTTTCAAGAATCCACTACATCAATGTATGCTGACAACCTTCTTTTTACATCAATCCGTTACATTACCGACAACTCAATAAAATAAGAGATATCAACTCAACATAGGTAAAACCATCTTGACAACCAAATCATAAAATAATAACAAGGCATATATTACCATGTTAAATGCAACGGAAAATCATGTAATAATGCATGACAAACATAAAGCGTTCACACGCATAATCAAGAATGTCACCCTCGTACCATTACATAAACATCATCAAGAAAATCACCCTTAAGCCATCACATAACATCATCAATAATACCACTCTTATTTTGCCGCATGTACAATATCAAGAAATTCCATCCTTATTTCATAACATGGGCATGTCACCACCCTTATTTCACCACATGGGCAAGCCCGATAAACACCACCCTTATTTCGCCCTATGCGCCCGTCCAGCCATTTCTGAAATGGGAACAAGGAAACATTATAATGAATTTTATAACTATTCTATATGACAACATATGTCATAATAACTCATAGAAGAGAAATTAAGTTTAAGGGTCATATTCTCCTTTATAAATTTTCGACCCTTTCAGGACCACTTAAGTAACAGCCACAGGAATGACTTAAGACTTGGATTAAGCCCTTCACTTAGGATCAATTGCATTTATTATTTATTAACCTTGTGGAAGACCGACACATTGCCTAAGTTCTTCATTCTGCAACATCATCTCCTTTTATATAGGAATGAAATTAAAACGTAACAGTTGGCAATGTTAACATCTTAACTAGTGCGTATTCCTTCTTACGGAAATTTTTTTACTTTTTGGAATCAAATACCAAGATCATAACAATCAAATCATCTTTGATACTTGGGAGGAAACAACTTATTGTTAATTTTGTGGTTAAAGTGGAAAGATTAAATTGGGTAGGACTAAGGACCTACTACCACTGCTTCCGCTAAAACAGAAAAAACCAAAGACAGTGGTGAATATCGCAGGCAAAGCGGCTGACTCCGTCGTATCTTTAAAATAACAAATCACTTCATTCAACTATGTATTTAAACTAGAATATATACACCATACATTGCTGTGATACCATTGTCAGATAAAATGAGGGGCGAGAATAACGAGTTGTGTACCTTGTTGACGCAGCGAAAATCGTTGAACTCACCACCGTAAGAATTACCCCAAATCAACCTTTGAATCACTAGGAAACAAACTGTATTCCCACCAACTAAATATCTCTTTATCTATGTGTGTATTTTGGAGAAGAAAGAAATTTAGAAATTCCTTCAAGAAAGAGAAGAAGTACGTTACTTCTTGGGCAGATTCAGAGAGTAGTTTTTTTGGATTTTTTATCACACTCTATACATTAATTACCCCACTACTAATAGTGGTTGTATTGATTTAATCTGCCAGGGTAACTTCCTTATCCCCTTTCTAGACGGGCCGGGTCAGTCCACATGGGCGACCCACAACTCAAACCCAAATTACCAACAAAATCTTTACGCAAATAGCTGACCTGTTGCATAAATAAGCGTGATCTTCAATTGATCATAGTTATACACATTATATACAGAATATACATATACTATATATTCGCATGTTATCTTTGGTTTAAACTGTCACATGGGCAGCTATTTAGGTTAATTCTTTTTCAATTACTTATGTACTCATTCTAACGAGTAAAAAAGATGGCCAATACCTAATAATCACAATGCACATGAACACCCTAGTTGTAGATCACTATTGCCTCTTCAAAACGTGAACAGGAATAAAAGTGAAACATATCATAACACATAAAAAAAGGTCTACATACATACATCAAGAAAAAGAACAGTAAACTGAACCAAAAGTTAAAGCATGCGTGATAAAAAAAAGCAGCTCGATCTACTAATTAGCTCTCGCTATGCGCAGGGTCCGAGGCTGCAAGGGTTTATTGTACTCAATCTTACCCTGCATTTCTGCATGACGTTGTTTTTACGGCTCGAACCCGTGACCTCCTGATCATTAGAAACAACTTTATCAGTTACGCCAAAACTCCCCATGTATGCGTGATACTGATGTTTAAAATCTCTATGTTTCATCTGCTGGACTTTCAAGTGAAAGCAGCTTTAACCATTCAAACGTTCGATGACGTGTCCCGATTTGTTTCTTTTTGTTCTCCTTCATCTCTGTAACTTCCTTATAATTATCTTCAATATTATGGTCATTCATTTCCTCTTTCAAATTCATAGTGGTGCTGACTCTGTTTATTGTAACAACTTTAGAAGGAACTATTTCAACTGAATTCACTGAACATTTGCAGCTTCCAAGAAATGCCCTTTTCCTCTGCTTCTTTTTCTTGCTTAATATAATCCTCCTTCTATTGTCATTGCTCGAACTGCTACTGCTACTACTCGTGCTATTTTGACTTAAGAAATCCTTGTTGCATCGAATCTTAAGATCCTGTAATGCAATTTCTGGCGTTTTCACCAACCCAACACGAAAATGACTCCATATTTTCGGCTTTGGGTTAGACCTACTGATGTTTCTGTGTGTGATCTTTGAAAATTGAACCTGGGTTGTCGGTCTTCGTTGAGAATGAAACTGGTTTTGAATCCGAGGAACATTGGACTCTGTTCTGAAAAAGTACGAATTAGTCAGTGATGGAATAAAAAATTCTAACAAGAAAATTCAAAACAAAATAAATAAATAACTTTTGAATCACATTTGTCAGTATACGGGAATGCCACGTCGCATTCCAGATTATCCAAATGCTTACGTTGGATAAAATGCCCTTAGCAGTTTTTGTTCTTATATATCTGTAATTGGGATTTGTTATTTGTTCAGGATCGTAACAATTACTTGACGTAGTGGAAAGAACAAAAGATGTGCTCCAAGTCGTTGAACAGAATCCAGAAGATTCCATTATGCCAAAGACTAAGGGAATTCAATTATTATCGATAGATACTCCCTCTGATCATTTATAAATGTCATTTTGGCCAAAACAAATGTCGCTTTAAGAAACCAAGAACACATTACTTTTTTCTAAATCTACCCCTTCTCCAAAAAAATCAGTACTATATAATTTTCTTAAGAGTCTCCAACAATTATTACTCATTTCGAGGATAGATTAAAAGATTAACTTAATCAAATAATTCTTAAACGACATTTATGAAATTGTTACCTTATTTGCTGAGAATAACTTGTCGAGGAAGAGGATTCAATTGAACCTGGTTCATAATTACATGTAGTTCCGCCCTTGAAAAATTTATTGTTATGGCTATCATTTGGCAAACATTGTAGAGGCAACATTTGGCCTTGGAAGAAAACTTCATCTGCGGTGCACATTTCAGAATATTCTTTCAACAAAGAACCGCCAAACGAGCAGAAATCAAACTCTTCTTGTGTTAAGCTTCCTCTAGGAAATTTTTCATCTGTTTGGTTCTCTTCATTTTTAGGCAGATTATCGCGTAGCGATAATGCTTCTTCTTCCTCTTGAACAAGAACTCTCTCATCCTTGTCAGTACAACTAGAGTTCAGCCACATTTTGTAAGTAAATATAAATTATGGAAATGAAGGAATTAAGTACGAAATAGAAGGTACTATAATTAGTAAATGTACAAAAAGAGCAGAAACAACACAAGTTTTCTTGTTTGCAAGTGAAGATTACTGTTGACAATTGGGGTTGCAAAAATAGCCTTTTTATCAGAGCGTGGTCCTCTTTAAGTCTTTAATACTTGGGCACATTGCATGGATTTGGATGGAATATTTAAATTTGAATGGATCTTTTTAAAAATTTTGAATGGAATTGAGCTACTACACATATTTGGTATGGTGTTGTCGTTTTCCAAAGAAGATGACTACCATAAATCTCAAATTCTTAACCGACACTAGTTTTATATGTCACAATGGCACACAACCACCTCGATCCACTTATGCTCTAATCGGCAAATTGTAAGGTTTGATGGGGAAAACAAATATATAAGAGGAATATTGTTGGGCAAGTTTTAAGAGTTTAAATTTTATATATTGACATTAAAAAGAACTTTTGAGCTTTTGAATGTTAAATCACATGTTATAACAAGAAATTTATCATATTTCGCGGTTTATCGGGTGATGTTNTTAATAGACCTACCCAAGTGCTATTGGCATTCGATTGGCACCAACTAATTTGGTTGGCAATTAAAGCGGATTAAAGTCCATATTTTTTCTTGAAAAGTATTACGCCGCTCATGTTTACTTATCCATATATATATATATATACTCCCTCCGTTCACTTTTACTTGTCCACTATGAACTTTGCACACCCCTTAAGAAATAATAAATGAAGTGCACAATTTATCATGATACACATATTAATTAATACATATTTTTAATGAATTTGAGAAAATAATTTGAAATGAATAATTAATACTGTGGATGTAACAGGAAAAAAAGAAATTGTCTTCTCTTGGTATGCTAAAAGTGATAAGTAAAAGTAAAAATATATTTTTAGAATATTAGACAAGTAAAAGTAAACAGAGGGAGTATATCGGATCACGGAATTTAAATGCGAAATTTGATATTTTCAAAGTTGCTTTATGAATGGTGAAGGGGTATTTGGTTAGGTGATATTGAATATATAGGACCAAGGCTAGTTAATGATTTTGTGATGTACTGCATTATGTGTTCTTTTCTTGGTGAATTGTATTGAATGTTTTTCATAGAAATCTTGTGATTCTAAAATCTGCATTAAATCATGTATGGCCATTATTACTTGGGAATGTCTTCTCTAGGCCTACTGGTCAGAGAATGTATGGCCCTATGTCATTCGCCTCATCCTATGATCCTATCCCGGGGCCAAAAGATTTATTTTTGGGTTTTCACCTGTTTTTTACCCGCTTTGAAGCATCGATTAATTTGGATTCGCACCCGCAACCTACTAAATATAAAACACTTTCTATAAGAAAAAAAAAATTTATTTTCAAGATTCGAAATCGATAGTTAAAGATAGAGGAATACAATGTATATCACCACAACTCTTGATGGTCGGGGCAAAAGAAATTGATGTGGCTTTCTTGCTTTACTTTTAGGCAAAAAGGCCTCCTCACCACTTATACTTGTACCCGATTGTCATGCCGGTAAATAAACTTTCAGAATTCCTACACGAACACTTCAACTTGAGCATAAGTAAACTAATAAACACCTCTAACTGTTGAATCATAGCGCGTGCATTACAAATTGACAAACGTGGCAATCCAGTCAGCAAAAGACCAATTAAAACCTACCAAATGTACGGTGCGAAAACACACTAATCACCAACTATTTCCCATTCATTTTTGACTTACACGAACACTTCAACTTGTGCATAAGTGAACTAATAAACACCTCTGACCGTTGAATCATAGCATGTGCATTACAAATTGACAAACGTGGCAATCCAGTCAGCAAAAGACCAATTAAAACCTACCACATGTAAGGTGCTAAAACACACTAATCACCGACTATTTCCCATTCATTTTTTACTTAAAGACTCTAAAATCTCAACAGTTTTCAATCGTCTGAAATGAACGACCTAGGATTTTCCGCCTCCAAGATCATCTACACATTGGGTTTTTTTTCTTTCAAGCTCGGTTCCAAAACAAGAATCTGCTAGGTTTGTGCACCGTCGATTTCTCCTTCACCAGAAACGTAGAAGTCATTCAAGGTCCGATTGTTGTCTTTCATGTTATTTCTAGTTGTTTTCTTGTGTTTTTATGTGTTATTGATGTTTTATATGATAGATATGTTTTGTATGTATGCAATGATTATTTCGTTAATAGGGTTTAAAATTAAGGCTTTTTGGAATGACATACTAAATTCTTATTCTCTCTGAATTTTGTCGGTTCCATAGCTGATTTGGCATATAGGGTTAAAAAATTAGCTAGGGCGTTTTATCATATAGAAAAATCTTGTCTCTTAATGGAGAATAAAAGACACAACTTTCCATTGCATTATTCACCTGAAGAATAAAATATCGATCTAAAGAAGAAAAAAATTGACTTGAATCTGTAGAAAATTTGAAGAGAAAATATGCTACAGAGTTTCAGTTCCTCAATAATGGAGGTTGTAGGCAAACGAGGAAGAAGAAGCCCTGTAAATAGATAGCCCCTGGGTTTATTACCGTTGGGCCTTGAAAAAAGGTGTTTCACGCTCCAACCATGTGTGACATACACGCACAACAACTGATTAGGAATAATTGATGTCACATGTGTTGAGTCAACGGTCGAAGGTGTTTATTAATTCACTTATGCTCAAGTTGAAGTGTTCATGTGGGAGTTCTGAAAGTTATTTTACCGACATAACAATCAGGTACAAGTTTAAATGGTGAGGAAGCCATTTTGCCTTACTTTTACTTTAATTTAGTCTTTCCCTTTACTTTTACTCTTTTCCAAAATTTCCCCATTATATTTCGATACATCAACTACTATGCTAAGATCTTGGGACGACACTCTGAAAATAAAAAGATTGTAAAATCGTTTTATTGTATTCCCTCTATTCTAATTTATGTGGCATTCTTTCCTTTTTAGTTTGTCCCAAAAAGAATATCATCTTTTTATATTTAAAAGTAATTTAACTTTAAGATTTCCCTTTTACCCTTAATGAGTTGATTTATAACACAAATATTTAATTATTATTTTGATTCACAAGTTTCAAAAATCTTTATTTATTTCTTAAACTGCATATCTAGTCAAATAGTAACACATAAATTGGGATAAAAGAAGTATAATTTATACATATGGTTTATAAATGGTAAAAGAGCATTACGCTCCGTTTAAATTGGTAGGAATACAACACGAACCTTGTATGAATTACACCATTGAAAAAGATTTAAAAAGACGTGGGGTAAAAACACAAGAGACCGTCGTAGAGACCAATTTAAGATTTAGAGTTAGTGCGTTCAAAAATACCGCGATCTTACAATATTCTATTTATTTTTAAGAGTTTCTTACGCATACATATTCGTCCTAAATTCACCTTTTAAAGGCAACAACCAAAGTAGCAAGGGAGCCAAAGCACTGACCTTTTAGAGTGTATTTTTCCTATTTCATAACACGGAGAGGTGTCTATGTTTACATAATATATAATGTGGCAGGAGAAACATATTTACTCCATAGTAAGATATTACGATTGGAAACGTACACTTAGGTACAGTTAAAAAGCTATACATTTCACGAATAAATTGATTATACAGAATTTCTCACGACTAAATTGACTATCTAATCCTTTAAGTATGTCACATTACGGAAATGTTTTTTCTAAAAGTGGTCTGTCATTTAACCCGTGTGTTATTTGATAGATAAAGGTTTGATTATTAGAGTCCAGCATAGACTAATGAATTTGGAAAAAAAAAATGTATTTCAATATAATTTATAGGTGCTATAAGTGGAAGGTTTTAATTTACAAAAATGACTACATTATTAATCTTACATATGACTAGATTAAGGGTGTTTTTTGTATGAAGCATTCTAATTTTTTCATGTTTGGTTGGCTCAAATGTTATGAAAAATATTTTTCTCATCAACTCATTTTCTTTCAATTGGAGAAAAATTCAAATTTTTTTTTTCAATATTTCCTACCCTATTCCCCATTCCCACCAACTCACCCCCACACCCGCACTCC